CGAGCCCCGTGGGGATGGACCAAAATCGCCGTATCCCGTCCCGGGAGGTAGCACACGGGGCGTTACGGCCCCCCGGGCGGCACCGGGGTGAAACGGGCTTTGCTAGGGCCGGGCTGCGCTTGCCACCCCGGCTACCCGGTGGGGACAAAGCAAAGTCACCGCTCAATTATCTGAAAACACGTTTAAACTCTTAAAGTAGGCGCTAGCAGCCTAACGGTGCTTTAAGACTCGCGAAACTGCCAAAAGGGGGTCGTGCCCCACATCTCCGCAGGGCACAGGGGCAGCAGGGACGGGCAGTGCTGGCACTGAGCAGGTGGGAACCACTTCTTCCTCCTGATTGCAAAATTACTTGCTGCTATATACAGGTTCAGGCTGTTCTGGGCTTTGAAATAACTGTAAAAGGCAAGAAAAAGGGATTAAAAATTCCAGTAGTGTTTTGAACTAATTAGCAAAAGCTATTTGGAGAATGCAGTTGCAAAGCTGGCCAAATTATTAGAAAGAGCCCACTGTGTGCAAGAGAGGTGAGCATCTAGCACCAGGCTGCTACCATACAGCATTCTGGACCTCCTCCTATTTATTTGTTCTTCGGAAAAAATAAGACTCCTTTGAAAAAAAACCCAAACCCCTTGTATTGCCAGGCAATTCATACAGTTTATCGTGATTATTGGGACTGCCACCTGCACAAGCAGAGGCACAATGCCGTCCTGCCGGGAGCACAGGGTAGGCAGCAGGCAGGGCAGCACGGCCCTCGGATCAATAACTAGCTGTGTGGCATCAGCTCTGCAAAGCGCCACGGGCCACATTCACACAAGGACTCAAAAAAGTCACCGTGAGTAGCCACCCCTGCACGATCCATGCTTAGAAAGTAGGATCTGCTGGATCAACTGGAAAACACTGTAAGAAATCCCTCCTGCTAGCAAGGCACTGAGGGGTGGGAGTAATTGGTGGAGTTCTGCAAAGACGGGTTGCGCTGATCCACCAGCTCATTCCCGCAGAGAGGTGTCCCCCCACCCCAGCACGCCCTGTTCCCCCCACCAGCTGTCAGGGTTCAGTCAGCTCATGGAGCCCGCAGAAACCCACCACCAGCACAGCCATAATGGGAAGGCGAACGATAGACTGAGCCCCAGAAGGAGCTGGTGAACTGCACGACTGGTACAAGCCCTTTGGTGGCAAAGAATTTAATCCTGAAATGGCTGCAGGTGTCTGACTGTGCCCTGGGAGAGGTCCCACCAGGTCAAAGGAACAACGGCCCTCTCATTTGTCATCCAGAGATCACTTGTCCTGTGCTGACCCCTTGGGTTTTGTCCAGCCACACTAACTGCAGCACAATGGACCAGATTTTCATTATTTGTCCATCCTCATTGCCACCTGCCCTTCCCACATTTTTCTCCCAAACCTTTTTCCTGTCATCCTTATGAGCTTAGCTATGAACATCAGGACTGCCAGACCAGTCCATCTCTCCTGGGACCAAGTGTAGGTACCAGAGGAAGAGTGTCAGAACAGCACAAACGTATCAGCCCAGCGTACTCCCATAGCCTCCAACAATTTACATCTCGGGGAATTCCTGGGCTAGAAGAGGTGTCTTTACCAGCCCTCAGAGGATTTTTTCTTCCATTAGTCACATTTTAAGGCTAAAACCTGTCAGTATCAGTGAACACAAAATGCATGTTTTTATGCGGACAAGCACCTACGGTGGTTTTTATCAAAGCTACTACTTGCATTTGTGTCAAATCAAATCTGATTTTATTCTTGAGCACAGCTATGAAGGAAGCTCTTAGTGTTCTCAGTCTCACTTTATCAGGGGTCAGGAACCCGGGATTTTTTTTTTCTTCTTTGAAGCACGGGAACTGTAGTCTTTGTGCTTAGGGCTTAGTTTCTTTATGAACTACATTTCCCAGAAAACTCCTCTTCCGGCAGGCCAGCCCTGTCCTTCCGCAGTCGGGCACGGCAGCATTATGAAAGGTGAGTTTTCAGGCATTCTTCCCCATATCACTCTTATTCTGTTAGCTGTGGTCGGTTCGGCTGTTACCCCCCCCGCCCACGTCAGTATTGCAGCGAAGAGACTCGGCTGATGTGGTTGTCCCTCCGAATTTCTGGCCTGTAACTATCTGTAGAAACCTCTTCTGCCTTGAACTTGTCTGATCCCTTTCTGCCGGGCACCTTGGATGCGTGTTAAAAACAAGCGCTAGCCTCAGATCTCGGTGGGTACGTTTACAGGGCTTCACTTACCGCATATAGCGGTTATTTTCTAATCTGAGCACTTCCATTTTAAAAGCAGCTTTGCATTTCACAGGAAGCATTCTGTCCTTTGTAAGTTTCTCTCCTGAACTGTCCTGCTTCTAGGCTTCGCAGCAGCTCTCAAATGTATCTGTTATTTTCGCTGCTGGGCTACCACTGCCTTCTCTCTCTTGTGGGCCAACCCACATTATATCCCCATTTCATTCCCCCTCTGAACATTTCCTTCTGAGAGATCTTTTGATGATAAGGGACAGGAATGGAGAACTGTCATCAGTTAAATCCATTTAAATACTGTCAAACTGGCTTAACTGCCTTTGGGGAGCATCATGACAGAAGTTATTCTCACAGGAAATTACGGTTTATTGGGAGACTTTGTACCTTTTAATTAATTCATATGGAAAATTAAACCTCTTCAGAGGGAATGCGCAACACAGCTCCTGCTAAACATCAAAACAAGGCAAAAATCATTGCGAACAGAATCCACTGCTTAGATTTAAAAGTAATTCAGACTATGGAGGAAGTCCAGTCTTCCCTGTAATTCAACTGATGACGACACAAAGCCTTGAGAACTGGTGATTAACTGAGACAAACCTACTCTGCCACTAGCATCAATTTAGTATCATGATACTCACAGCTGAACACGCAAACTTTAAATGTGTTTAAATATTGCTCCATTTACTGTAAGAACTGATACTCGAGGGGGACCAGGGTCTTGAGGCAAAGCAACTTAGACACAGCAGGAGTCTAAAAACCATCCAGGCACTGAATCACAGGTCATCAAAAGTACTCAGGTGCCAGCCTTTCAGACAAGTCAGCTCAGACCTGAATACCTGTGACTGTCTCAGAGCTGACACAGATCTCACAGGCACTGCAAGTGTATGAAACTTTTATGAAAACATTTATGAAACTGCCCACGTGCTTTAACCGTCTGACAGCTAACAAGCTGCAGAGAGTCCTCCCTCAAACCACTGCCTGTAACACCTGAAAGGGATCTGCTCCAGACAGTCCATTCTCAGTACTGTTTCTTTCAAAATTTTTGGTATTTTGTATGCAAAACCACAGAGAGGCCCAGAAAAAATAGTTATAAATAGTGAAATGGAAAAAGGAGAACTACAGGCTGATAAAAAGACCAAACAAAATCAAGGTCCAAACCAATCCACTCCTGTCACAACAGGTCCTGCACAGAATTCCAGGCTACTTGTCACCAAAGCCTTCCTGCCTGTGCCCAACAGGGCATGCCATTCCCCCCTTAAAGCAGGATATCCCTCCTGTTCCTACCTGCCAGGCAGTTGTTTCTGCCACCTACACATGTAGGTGATCTCACAGCAAAGCCTCCTGTTCCTGCTAGAGAAGCAAAGCAGTACCCCTCCACCTCTGCACTAACTTTAGGGAGGTGGCACCCACAAAAGAGGAGGTGCCAGAGGCATTTAGGTAGTGTCCTAATCATCTTCAGTCCCATTTCAAGGCCTGTATATTAAAAAAAAAAAATCAAAAACCACAACAAAAAAAAACCCCAGGAGTAACTCTAGTCAAGGCCTTTGTCCTGAAAGAGCAACATTTCAAGGTTGTTTTTCTCTCCCTTCCCACAACACATGCAAAGGATGGGGTAAATAGAAAGGAGTGATTTGTAGCAGGCAGAATGTTAAAGCAGAGCCAGGGTCTGTTCTGGGGAGGAACCAGACACACCAGCTGGACAGCAGCTCTGGGGTGAGGTGCTTGGCCTCCCTGCCATTTCTTCTCTGCCCTGCTGCATATACCTGGGGAAAACTTTGCCTGCTCAGGTCTTTCTGGGCTCTTTAGAAGTCCTCTTGGGTAGCCGTCCTTCACACCAGCATAGGGGAGCAGGAATCCTGTAAGTCAGGGGGACTAACTTTGTCCTTGCAGCTTAGGCGGACGTCAGTGTTGCCCTCTGTGAAAGGGACATACAAATGCTGTCCTTGGACAGTGGGCTTTATTTCCAAAATAGTTTGTGTTTCTTTACTGACAAGAAAAAGAGCAAAGAATCTATATAGCATCATTTTCCAGAGAAACCCAAGAAAACGGAATTAAGGACATGCTCTTTGCTTTCTTTTACCTGCTGTGTTCTGTTCTTGGCTTTTAGCTGAACATGTTCTCTGCCAGGAAGTTGTCAGGAGTTTGCAGAGCCATCAGATTCCATCATTGCAGATCCCATTCTGTATCCAGGACCTCTCCAAACTTGGATTTCGTGCCAGCCTGTCTTCCCCCAGATCCTGTGGAAGTAGAGGAGCTGCAGCGCTTTGTTTCTAACTCCAAGAGGCTGTTTGTAATGACTGGAGCTGGAATCTCAACCGAATCAGGGATCCCAGACTACCGCTCTGAAGGTGTTGGGCTCTACGCCAGGACAGACAGGCGTCCCATCCAACACGCTGAGTTTGTTCGTAGTGCCAGTGCCCGACAGCGGTACTGGGCAAGGAACTTTGTGGGCTGGCCCCAGTTCTCCTCCCATCAGCCAAACAGAGCACACCTGGTACTAAGAGACTGGGAGAAGGTGGGGAAGTTGCACTGGCTGGTGACCCAGAACGTGGATGCCCTTCACACCAAAGCTGGGAGCCAGCGCATAACAGAATTGCACGGCTGCACGCACAGGTACTGTGTCAGCAGAGGGAGGATGGTTAATCCTCTGGTCTCTCGTTCAGGGTGACTGACAAGCAGGTGCCATGTTAGCTGCTGAGAAAGGAGGCAAAATGTCAATGCTATGTTCTTGGAGACAACATGCTCAAAGGGGTTGTTGGGCTGGGGTGGAGAAAAAGATCACAAAACAGTGCTGTTCACAGCATAGTGTTTAAGAAACACAAACACCATGCCATTGGTTTTGAGCATTATTTGGATAGTTTCCCTTGGACCCTGCATCAGTCAGAATTTCCCCTTTCGTTGCTACAGCAGATGTCCTCTTCGTGAAGAGGACAAGGGGATCCTGAGGATGCAAGGATTATCCAGGGCTATCCAGAACAGATAGTGCCAGAAATGCACAGGATGAGTGGACTGGAGAGGGGCCACCACAGTCTGGCTGTGATCACCCAAAGTTTCCAGATGAAAAACCACAGCCTGAACTGGGAGAGAGGATGCACGGTAGGGTTCAAAGCGCCTCCTCAAGATTATGCCTACAAAGTAACAACTGGAGGTAGAACACAGCTCCTTAACCTGTACTATTTGGTAAAAAAAAAAAAAATGTGGAACATTTACAGACAACAGACCTTCCAGGCCTTCTAGGGAACAAGTTACAGACTCCAGATCTTCAGCTGACATTAAACTCTCCATTAAGACTTTGCTCTGAATTTCAGGGTTTTCTGCCTGGCCTGTGGAGACCAAATCTCACGCTCTGAGCTTCAGGAGCACTTTGAAGCTCTGAATCCTACCTGGAAAGCTGAAGCATTCGGTGTGGCTCCAGATGGGGATGTCTTCCTGACAGATGAGCAGGTGCGTAATTTCCAAGTCCCAGCCTGCCGTAAATGTAATGGAATCTTGAAGCCCGATGTGACATTCTTTGGAGACACCGTGAGCCGGGAAAAAGTGGATTTTGTGCACCAACGCTTGGCAGAATCAGACTCCATGCTGGTGGCAGGATCCTCTATGCAGGTAAGTAGGTCTTCCTCCCACACTGCATTCCTATTTCTGCGCTACTCTGCCTGCAACAATCCTTGATCCCACAATTTAGGACTACTAATTCCTTCTAGATCAGAACAGTCTCTCCAGAGCTTCTTTGTATTTTATTTTGACTGTGGTTGGAATCTGGCTTCGTGGTTGGGCTGTTTGGGCTTCCCTGTCACTCTGTTGCCAGCCTACTTCGTGCTGCCATAACTAACTCCATTCAGACCTCTCTCTGCTACCTCCTCCATCAGTACATTGTAGGTTCACAATTGCCCATGAAGCCAAGATACCCAATACAATTCAATCCTGCAGAGATCACCACCCATTTTTTTGCTTGAATTTTTTAGCTTCTGTCAGTATTCTGAGCCTCATGGCACACATACCAGATTTTAGGACCTCTAATTCCTGATTAAAATCTCAATAAGAGAGCACAAATATATCTGCTTGCTGCTTAGGATTGACCTTTTATCACAATGTGTTTTCTCCATTAGCCTCTTATCTAGAAGTTAAGGTAGAAACTCCTGTTGTTTAACCCATGGAAGCTTTTGGAATAGAGTTTCTAGAAGATAATTTTTTTTCCAGGAACAAGTTCTATTATATTAAAAAACCCTACCCTAACGCCTCCCAGAACAAGATAAAACCAAGGCTGCCTGATTGTGATTCTCTTGGCTTCAGGATACTGGAGATAAATTCCTTGAGCTTGCAATTCTTAAGCTTATAATCCTTTGTACAGGAATGATTGAAATGCCTTAGGTTCATTCTTGTACTACCTAAGCTAGGCCATGTGAGAACCATCAAAGTAGAAGCATTTAAGTACCTATGATAACTAACAAAAACTCTGCAGAGATTTACTGAAACACAGGGGCATTTCCCTTCAGTGCACTATGCAGTATCAGTTTCTGTGAAACTGCAAATCCTTCACTGACAGAGGTTAAAAGCTGTTCTTTTCTGTGCATTCCCGAATGAAGAAATTTTCTACCCAAATTAAGTGCAGTTGCCTAACACAGCATGTACATACAGCCCCTTTTCCCACTGCCAACAGCAACTATTGTACTTTCCTTACTCCTTTCTATAGCTCTTCTTTCACCTAAGCTGCCAGTAGTTTTGTCTTCTGGTATTCCTGCAGGTATACTCTGGTTACAGGTTTGCGCTTGCTGCCCAGGAGAAGCAGCTGCCAATTGCGATCCTTAACATTGGGCCCACAAGATTAGATCACTTTGCGTCCTTAAAACTGAATTCCCGCTGTGGAGAGCTGCTGCCTTTGATTGTTGCACATGGCCCAACAAGCTGAGCTTCAGTAGCTATCAGGAATAAAATTATTTCTAGAAGGTGAGTACCTTCCCTGGTCAGTCACCTCACAGGGTAAGAAGCTGGGTTCCCATCAAATGCTGAGACTGAGATGTGCGGACTAAAAATATGTTTCCACAATGTGCACCAAACCGTGGCTGTAAATTTTCATCTGTTAACTGGTATGCTCTGATGGGCCATGATACTGTTTCCCATGATCATAAACAAGAAGCATACTAAGTGTTAACGCTCACAGAAAATGGGGCAAGAGTAGCCAGAAGACTTGGCAGTGTTGAGTTCCAATCCATTGGTCACAACCAGAAAACTACAGGGGATCACCCGCAGACTCAGAGAATCTGATCAACGCTGTTGTCTTCACAACTGACAATTCAAAAGCTGTGCCTTGTTGAATTGATCCAACTAATCCTAATCGGAACGCTGCTGTTTAAAATAATCAATTCCATCTATAAAACAGCTTCTTCCCTCCACTCCTGTGGGACTCATCCTCTCAAAATGGGAAACCTCTAAGTGGCAGCTGTGAGATCCAATGCATGGCCCCTGATGACACCAGGAGAGGGCAGCAAGCCTTGCACATGTCAGCCTGACCAGTTTTCTCCATTGAAACCATCTCCATTTACCAGGAAACAGGATGATGATGAAGAAAGTACTTTTCTGCCTTACCTTGCCACTGTAAGCAGTGCCTTTTCATTCACTGGGACAGGATAATCAGACTACCGTATCTGAGAACAAAATACCTGTCTTATAATTGTCCCCAGAGAAGAATGAGGGACAGGGATTTTGACCGAGTAACTTGAGGCTATAGCACAGGAGGGCGATGTGAAAAACCACAGTATCTGCTGTAGGATCCAATACCACTAGTGGGCAACTGTGGAGTGTGCAGAGGACAGAGGCAAGAGGAATTGCAGTTGTCATTTAAAAAAAAAAAAAGGTTCAAAATAGAAGCTGAACAAGAATACTGCTCTTGTAAGAGATTATTTGAAAGCACAGACTATAAGGCTGACATCTTCCAGCAAGGGGGGGGAACTCGGCATTTCTCTCAACTGTCAGTTGATATGCTAAACTGCTTACTATCTGAACCCTTTAAAAATTATATAATGTTGAGATGCCAGAAGAGTTCCTTTAAACTAATCTGATCAGCACCGCTTTCAGTGTGGCTGCTACATTTTCCAGAATGCATTTTTTGAAGATGTTATTTAATTAATGAATAGCTAAGTAGTGAATTAAAATTGTTTACAAGATTGATACTATTTGCATTGTAATTTCCTCTCCGTCCTATGATTTATTTAAGTACAGTATCAATAGCCACTTTAGATTAATTTTTCCATTGCAAAAATGCAGGATGTAATTACTAACAGCTGATGAATTAAGAGAGAAATACAATTAAATCTGTACAATAGGTCTCCCTCAGGAGGTAATCTCAAGCTATTAATAGATGTAATTTTCCACACTCCTAGCAGGAGATCCATCACTACTGGATAACAATTTTTTTTGTTGATCCTTAGGGTGGTAACATAAACCATATTAAACCATTTATGGAGTAAAAGACAGAATCTTGTCCAGACTAGAACACTAAATTTTTCACCCAACCTTCTGCATCAATCTACTGCTCCCCTTCTGGCTATGAGGGAGATGAATTGTTGGGGTCTTCCACATGCCCCAGTCCTACTCTCCACGTAACATATCCCGTGCTGATATTCTGGCAAGGACTGTAACAAGCAGTTGGAAGCGAGGATGCCACTCATCTGCTAAAAGGTCAAGCAGCAAAGCAAGGACAACTGACCACGTGATGCAAAGTTCTTTTTGGCTTTGTTGTTGATTCAAATCCATGCTAGGCAGGAGCAAGCAAAGTACAGAATCTAAGGGATACTTAGGCACCCAATTTCTGCAGAAGGTAGAGGGATTTAAGATTACTTAACATACTTGAAGATTTGACTGTTATAGGTCAGAGGAGAGACGGCTTCACCTTGAAGCCAAGTGAGGTAAGTTCAGGACCCGTACCTGCATTCTGCTCTCATTTAATGGAGATCCCACTTTCCAGGGAGTTAAGTATCTGCTGTTTGGTGGTGAAGAAAGCTCATAGATGTCACTCCATCTGTAGCATAGTACAGCTGCCCTGCTAACCAAAGCTTTTGCCGAAATCATTGCTAAGACACAGCAGTCTCCACATGCAGCCAGGGAGCTTGCACAGAGCTTTTATTTGCATAGGTTTTTCCATTTATGCCTCCTTAGCAGAGGAACTGAGGCTGGGTTTCTCACTATCCGTGTCATCTTCTGCACCACGTTGACAATTTCATGACATAGGTCTGTTAAAAACAGAGGCTACAGATTTAATGCCAGTAGAGGTGGCATTCTCATTTTGAGAAGTTGTGGGAGGATTGCCAAGAGGTCTAAAACAAGAGAACAATTCCAGTGAGGACTTTGCATTAGCAATGTGACAGGTAACTAAACCTCCATCTATCCCTGCCTCTTCTCCAACTCAGCAGCTGAACCTGGGGGAGAGTAGTCAGGGTGTCTCTTCAGTGTCACTGATAAATGAGTCATGTTACCCTGACCCTTCACTGATTACACTATATACTTTTAAGTCACTAGGACAATGACTTACAGTAAATGAACATTTACAGAAAATTTTCTGTGCATGGTTTATTACTGTATGTTAATGAGCATATATACAACAAGTATATGACAGTGAGAAAGAGGAATTCCTTTTTTTTTTTTTTCTGCTAGCTGAGCCAGCACTACTAAAATTTACTTATTTTAGCGCAGGATCAGAGCACTTCCCCTCTTAATTTGCTCCCCAAGTCACCACTGAGAAGAAAGTTCACTCAACTGAGAAATGACAGAGAAAGTCTGAAGTTTCTACACCAAAAGCCAGATCTGCATCACTCCAATGCTGACTGACACCTTCCCCTGTCACTCCTTGGAGACTATTTGTGTGCGAAGATGCAATGCAGAGAGTTAACAGATATCAGAAGATAACTATGTCATTGCAGGTAGCTAGCAAAGACCTATCCTGAGAAGTTCGTGTTTCTCAGCTTACTGTAGTTACCAGCCTGGAGGGAGTTATAAAAACCTCCAGGGTTGAGCACTGTAGGATAGAAATTAGCCATGCTGTGGGAAAACAACAAACTCAGTGAAAGAACTGGCCTAGTGTTCAGGTTTATTCTCTCAGCCTATGCAGAATTTGCAAGGGAGAAGGGTTTTAAAATGGGGCAAAATATTGTTGCTAAAAGACTAAATAAAAGGATCATAACCTTTGTGTTACTGGCTGAAACTAAGAGAAAAAGAGTGGTACAGATCCTGAGCAGTGTTCTCTTCCCCCATCACTAGGAAGGAAACACACAGATCCTGTCTATCATCTACCTTGTCCGCTTTAAGCCAGCCTTACCGTCCACATGATTCAATCCTCTCCTACCTTTTCTGTCTCACTGTTGTTAGACCAGTCCACCAGTATTTTAGATGAGGGCTTGAAGTTGCAGCTCTGTCCACCTGTGGGTGGCAAAAGTACACATCAGACAACAGCACAAGGAGAGCTTTTTTATCATGAAATTAGCTGAATCAACAGCTTACATTTCTTACAGCTGTTCCTACTAGGACAAGCTCCCGAGGTTTGGATAGAGGAGCTGAGAGTGCCTTACAATGTATTTTTCTGCTGCTCCTCTCAAAGCGGGATTGGAGTTCCCCAAAGCAAATAAAAGTTACTTCCTATTTGGCAAATCTTGTCTTTGCTTCTGGGCAAATTCTCGGAGCAAACTTTGTATCAATCCTGCAGCCTGAGAGAAATACTTCACATACTGTGCTGCAGCGAGGGCAGCACAGGCTGCAGACAGCCCAGAGGACTTGTGCCTGATGGCTGTGCAGCTTCCCACATCTGACAGTCGGATTGCTTCTCCCGACAAACCTGCTTATTCACACCTTCTGGAAAAGGACCGAAGACCCTGGGCATGGTGAACTTGGGAGGTTCAGTGACACTGGAGCAAAGGCCACTAAATCCACCTTCTAGAGTGTGCTTCTCCCCTCGTGACTGCCTTGGATGTCGCCCTTTCCCAGTCTTTGCAGCTGTGAGGAGGGAAAGAAAAAAAGTATTTCAAACCAGTGCCAACTTACTGGTTTCCTCAGTCTGTTCATTCAAAACCTGGGGCTTGGGCAGGACAGATGGAGTTTTCATCTCACATAACCTGTCCTGGGGCAGCCCCAGGTAAACAGCAACTGAAAGCAGCAGTTCTAGGCTGTCTGTAGAGTCAATGGGAAAGGAATGAGAAGGGTCTCAGCTAAATGCCTGGAGTCAGAGTTTCTTATTACTACACCCAGACATCCTTTATGGTGTCTCAGTGCAAGGCTTTTTAGATCTCAATTAACTTGGCCTTAGCAGTTGTGTTTTTAGATTACAGACAAGATAATAGCAGTGAGAGAGTGTATTTACGATAGAGGACTTTGTGTCTCCAGTCCTACTGGTCTGGCCATTTTCATCACTGATAGATACTGTGAAAATATCTTTCAGATGCCAGATTCCTCCGGGTTGATGCTTGCTTTTCTGCAGGGACAGGAAATTCTGGTACATGTTAAACAGCTTTGATCTGTTTGGCTGGAGAAAGAAGAAAAAAAAAAAAAAAAAAGAAGAGGTGGATGATGCTCAAAGGAGCCCATTAATCCTTTTCCTCCTATTGTATCGGTTCTGTGAGCTTTTCTAATTGCAAGGGTTCCCAAGAGGGGCTGCACAGCTAAGTGCTCTGTCACCTATGCACTCAAGTCCTTGTAGATACAGGAAATTATGCAGGGGACACAAAGGGACAATGAGAAATTCATACCTGCTCACCCTGACAGTACAATTGGGCAAGCGGTAATGCTTACTGAGGCTAAAAATAAGAGAAGAGCAAGAGCGGAAAAATAAAAAAAAAAAAAGGAAAAAGCACTTTGCTTTAGAGGGCCTCACAGTACAGAGCGTGACTTTTACACACTACAGGCGAGCAGTTTTGAGTGAATGGC